ACCAGTGCCAGAGAAGTGGACTCTGCTTCTCTGGTTCTCATAGGATGATCTGCACCCACCCCCAGTTAGTACCATTGACTCATTCTCAGCTCTGATCAGAGAATACACATTTCTCATCTATTATCAACAATTTTTAAAGAAAATGAGAATTATTGTGGTGACTCTAGTAGTGGCATTCATGTCTCCTGTGTTATTTGTTATATTCTATAAAAAGTGTTATACTGAGCAAATCAATAAACACCTCCTTACAAAAAGTATATTCTGATGCCTTCATCCACATTAAGGAAGAATCTATACAGCTGAATCAGTGAAAAGTAGCAAGTATTTTTGATCACCATAATCACTGATTACATGAGGCATTTTTCAAAACTCCAATTTGATTATTAACATAGGTGAAAGTTAATCCACTGTGACTTTGCCCATTGCATAGAGAGTATATTCAGATTCAGCATGGGGGTCACCCTTGTTTCAGAGTTTAATTCTGCCTTTTCTGAAGCACATGCATTTGATAAGGAAACAAGGGAGACCTGGCCTAGCACTGGTTCTGTGGGTGTGAAGAACATGAAGGGAATGGGCCGTCTGAGTCCTTATGAATGAGCTTCTGCACGAGTTTTCCTGGATAGTGACACAAGAGAAAGGCTGGAGAAGTTACATACGGTTTCTTACTCAACAGAGTAATATCCTGGGCTGCAAAGGGTACAATGGAGAAAAGAGAATTTATCAGAAGGTCACAACTGGCTTCTAGTCCAGATCATTCCAATTTCTAGCCATTTGAGTCTGCTCCAGTCAGTCTAGAATTCACCATTCTACCAAGCACTCTGTGACTTTTCAGTCCCCACTCATGCTGTTTGGATAGGTCCATCTTGGCCATTTCTATAAATTCTAATTGTCCTTCAAGGCTCAGATCAAATCTGGCATTCCTCATGAAGCCCCTCCATTAACCCTAGCCAGGAGGGGGTCTCCTTTCCCCTCTGGAGCTCCACAGAACTCCAATTCTGTGACAGCCATTTTCATGCTCTTCTTGGCATCGTTCACATTCACCCCAAACTCTGCCCCAAATGGGACCACTCAGGGTCCTTTATAAATTCTACAAAAAGGCCTTGTTCATCTTAATTACCACATATTCAGAAGAATCTATCACAGTGCCTGGTTTAAAACAATGCAAAAATGTTCTGCTGTATAATTTTTACAGGTTTGAGGTGAGATTTTGTTGCTATTATTGTGGTTTTATGGTCAAAGACCCAGGAAAGACTGAATCCTGTCCTGCCAATCATCCCAATCCTTGGAGATTCAGGGAACAGTAGCAGCGCTGGGCTCCAGTACCACTTTATAAGCATCTGAGCCACATCCAGTGTCCTTCATCATTGGGCTTGCTGGGAACAGGTGAGCTGGAAAATAGTGTAGGTCTGCCCTGCTCCCCACTCTTAGCCCCAAATCTGAAGCAACCAGCTCATTACTGCAAAAACAGGCAAATAAAAGAGATGATCAAGCATTTATCCTAACTTTCCTGTCTGAACTGTATGTAAGTGTAACTTAATAGTAATGGAGGGAAATTGAAGACCTGTGGGTTCAGACCTACCATGGACAAAGGGAGATTGCTGACTGGATCCACGTGGGGACTCCAGCAAGCCACATGGGTAGAAGAGGACTAATCACAATCGGGGCCAGGCTGGGAGGAAGGCAGCTCCATCCCCAGATGCAGACACTGTGAGGCACACTGCCCTTCATGGAACAGGGGCCAAAGATCTCCTTGGGCTCTCACCAAGTAGATACATAATTCTCTTTCTTGAGATATAATTCTCTTTCAATGAGGTCAGGGAGATGTAAAGGGAACGGGTTAAGGCAAAATGGGGAGAATATGAACTTGGCAAGAACATGAAGAAAAGGTCTTCTCTCACTGTGCATTTGCAGTGATGGGGAATAATGCAATGATTTGACCCCATGGGAAAAATGAATTGAACAAGAAAAAGAAAAAAGGGTCAGCAATGAATAAATATGAGAGATCTTCGGCTGACCTTTGTCATGGTCATCAGCAGGGAGACTTTCTGGCTCAGAGTCCTCTCTTCCCATGTGGGGCATAGGGTAAGATGATCCTTCTATCAGTAAACACCATTTCAGACTGGCTCTAGTCTCAGCCTGGGGCTGTGTGCTTGGGGATAACAGGAGAGGAACATGTTCCTTGTCATCCTGGAACAGAGCGACTATAGAGTTCAGAAGCTTAGTCATTCTTACAGACCCAGAACCTCCTGTAAACTCACCAGCTTATTTTGTAAGAAACAAAACTGCTTCTACTTACGCCTCGGTTGGGATAAAACAAGTACTTAAAGTATTTAAGTGCAATCCGCCTGCAGACAACACTCATGGCACACATTTTGACAAGGATCAAACCTTCTTGATGAAATAGCTCCCCAGGATAGACCTTGGACAGTTACTTGGTCCTACCACCACCCAGGGGAGAAAACAGGGTTTCCCATTCAAAAGTCACACCTCTGGGAACAACAGTCCCCCTCAATATCCAGCAGCATGGCACAGACAGCCAGATACTAAAGGCACACAGCACTGCCTCCATGTGAGGGAATTGCAGACGCCCCATCATGCACAATGAGGCATCTATGTAAGGTGACCAAACATCCCTGTTTGCCCTGGAGAGTCCCAGCTTACACCAGTGTCCCAACATAATGTACAGCACTCCCTTTCAAACTCAAAATGGACAAGAAACATGAGATGAGCCTGGAACATCTTGTCATACCAGAAAGCAAAGAAGCTGTCAATGATGATGAGGTTTGTGTTGAAAGGGATCAGCAGCCAAGTTGAAGAGGCTCCCACTGGTCAAAGGTGAAATGATTTGAGCATCAAATTATAACTGCAGGCCAGGCGCGGTGGCTCACGCCTGTAATCCTAGCACTTTGGGAGGCCGAGGCGGGCGGATAGCTCGAGGTCAGGAGTTTGAAACCAGCCTGAGCAAGAGCGAGACCCTGTCTCTACTATAAATAGAAAGAAATTAATTGGCTAACTAATATATATAGAAAAAATTAGCGTGGCATCGGTTGGCGCATGCCTGTAGGTCCCAGCTACTGGAGGTGAGGCGCAGGAGGATGGCTTGAGTCCAGGAGTTTGAGTTGCTGTGAGCTAGGTGACGCCATGGCACTCACTCTAGCCTGGGGCAACAAAGCGAGACTCTGTCTCCAAAAAAAAAAAAAAAATTATAACTGCAGTGGAGTTGACCAATAACAAATATATTTAATTCATGAACACATAATTTTTAAAACAGTCTCCTTTAACAGTAAGCAAAGCAACCACTCATACTGCAAAAACAGCAAATAAATGGGCTCCACATCTACTCGCCATCATATTGGTACTGACTGATTAAAATACGGTGCTCAAATGGTGGTAGTACTCACCAGTGATTGGGGGGACTACATCCTAGGATGTGGCGAGCATTTTGGGGAGGGGGAGGAATGCCCTAACCCTTCTTAGAGGAGCAAAGATGTATACAAGGTTAACCAAATGCCGAAAAAAAAATAAACTTTTTCAGGGATGGGCAGGTGGGGGAAGGGGTAGTGGTATACTTACATAATGGTGTGGTGCCCCACCTGGAGTTGACACACTGAAGCTCGACACGGCAGGGGAGGTGGCGCAGGGGCAATATATGTAACCCTAACAATATCTGTACCCCATAATATAATGAAATAAAAGAGAAAAAAAAACAATAAACATCATAAAACACACAAAAAAGAGATGATCAAGCATTTATCCTGACTTTCCTTTATGAACTGTATGTAAGTGTAGCCTATAAGTAATGAGGGAAATTTCTTACAGAAGTATTCCAGCTACTAAATGATGGAAGAGGCTAATTTATAGGACTAAAGAAATAACAGATCTAGGCTCCTACATCATGTAAAGAAAAACAACCAGACATGCCACCATCTATGTGTTCTTGCCAAATGCAAATATGGATCTGTTTACACCTCTTGTACTGCAAGTTTTAGTAATACAGAGGCCACAGAAATGTTAAACAATGTCATGGGTATGCAAACAGAAAATTCAGAATTTAAAAAACTATAGGATAAATAATCTAGTTTTTCAATGAAAAAACTTCAAGAATAAGGATAACTACTATAGATTAAAAGACTTAGAGAAAAAGCAATAAATTATAATGTATAGAAAAATTATGGTGGTTATTAAAATTCATTAATTGAATATTCTGACATTAAGAAACTGTTAAATTTTTTTAGTATAATAGTATGTGGTTTTCTTCTTTTTCTTTTTTTTTGAGACAGAGTCTCGCTTTGTTGTCCAGGCTAGAGTGAGTGCCATGGCGTCAGCCTAGCTCACAGCAACCTCAAAACCTGGGCTCAAGTGATCTCCTGCCTCAGCCTCCCAGTAGCTGGGACTACAGGCATGCGCCACCATGCCGGCTAATTTTTTGTATATATTTTTGTGGCACCGAGTTATCTTTCCATTTATAGTAGCGACGGGGTCTTGCTCTTGCTCAGGCTGGTTTCGAACTCCTGAACTCAAGCAATCCGCCCACCTTGGCCTCCCAGAGAGCTAGGATTACAGGCGTGAGCCACTGCGCCCGGCCGTATTGTGGTTTTCTTAAAAGAGCCCTTACCTTTTAGAGGTACACACTGAAATATTTATAAATAACATATGGGATATGCTTCAGAATACTTCAGTGGAAAAGGAAGACAGGTAGGAAAGAATGGGTAGAGACGAAACAAGATTGGCTATTAGTTTATAATTGTTAAAGTCAAATGATGAATATATGAGGATTCATTTATCTATGTTTGAAATTTTCTACTATAAAAATTTCTAGATGTGCACCATCTGGGGGGGATGGACACGCTTGAAGCTCTGACGGGGGGGGGGCAATATATGTAACCTAAACATTTGTGACCCCATAATATGCTGAAATTAAAAAAAAATTTCTAGAAAGTAAAAAATACAGATAACATTTCTTGACATTTAAATAGATATGAAAAATAAGGCTACAACAATTCCATGGGAAAAACTCCCCTTTAATTGAGGCTTATTTTGAGACATTGTCCATAAGTTTTGGCTTCACAGCAGATAGAGAAAGAGGCCAGATGGGAAAGTCAGCAAGGCCCAGGTCCTACTGGAGCTTCTGTCAAGAGATTCCCAACTTACTGAAAACCCAGAGGCCTGTTGGCTGAGTGTATAATCAAAGTGCATGAACAATTTAATTCAGGTGAACAGACCACTGATGAGCAACTCCCAGCCACTCTCCCAACCCCACCTCCACAGTCCCTGCCTCACTTTGGGATATCGAGCTCTGGGGAAGGTCATGCTCAGGCCCAGTCAGCCCCACATAGCCTTGCCTCATTTGTCTGAGAACTGGGGAAAAAAGAACTGATTTTGCAGACAGACCTTGGCACACATGGCTGAGGAGCAGCAGCAGCCCGGTGTACATCTCAGATACACTCGGTCAGCACAGCCTCCTGGGCATAGCCAATGGGCCAGAAGAACCAGGAAGGTAATTTGCTAAATCAAAATTAAACACCACAGCTGCCTGCCAAAAAAATGGAACAAAATCATGTGTTCCAAAGTGGGCTGAGTAATACAACTGTGTCAGTTGTTACCATTTATCTTATATACAGTAGAAAATGGAAAAAAAAAATCTCAGTAAAAAAATATGACATTAAGAGGCACCAGGAGACAACATTTTACAATTACAGTACACTGTCAAAAGACAAACTCACTCAGCAGCCAGTGTTCAAAGGCACAGCACAACAACGACACAGCAGGGCAGTCCATGCGAGTTACGCAGTTTACAGAATCTTAAACAGAAAGGAAACACTCCAGTGTTGGCAACGTAAGGAAGCTTAAACAGTTAAAAACACTGCATCTTCTCATTTTCAAAGAAATGTATTTTTTAAATGCCTACAAATGTCTTTATTTTTCCTGAATTGGCACTCATGCAAAACAGGTCACTAACCACCTCATCATCCCCAGTTGGCATCCAGGACCCCCAGTGTCTTGGATGACAAGGGTCTAGAGAACAGAGACCATTCAGTAACCAGAGGTAGGTAGCAAATGCTTTCAGGGCAAGATGCTGACAGGACCCAGAATACAGACTCAGACCCCAGGTGCAGAGGATTCACAAGAGTATCCACAGATTCTGAAGATAAAGTACAGTCACTAAAGTGTAAGCTCTACAAAGTCAGGAATTTTACCCCCATTTTACTCATGAATGTATCTCAAACACCCACAAGAGTTCCTGGCACATTACAGAGCCTCAATAAATACTTGTGGAATGAATCAAATGAGAAATAGAGCAAAGTATTTTGTATACTGTAAAGTGCCATCGAATATAGGGCATTAATACCAGTTCATCTTTGAAACTTATTTAATGAGATCTTTTTACAGAACAGAATGTTTCTTAAAATACTCTCATATTTATTCGATGATCAATACCAAAATATTAATTTCCTAATAGTTTATATGTTGACAGTTGTTACAGTGCAAGGAGTAACAAATGGAGAAATTTTAAAGATGAGGGTAGAACATTACAGCCAGACATGAAAGAGGCTACAAATGGGGCAAAATAAATGAGGCTGCCTGAGAGAAGATCCCAACTGGGGTGGGAAGGTCCAGTGCAGGAGCAGGCAGGGCAGAATGAACAGACAAGACACTCTCTCAGCATTTAGCACAGGTGCACTTGAGAATACTTTGGGTTACTGACAGTTGGTGTGTGTCCCCGCCTCACAGCAAAACCTCTGTGAGAACTAGGTGTTGTCTGTCTCCTACTCCACTGTATTCCCAGGGCTAGCAGCATAGTAGGTGCTCAATAAATATTTGCCACATGGAAAAGAGAGAGTGGGTGGGGGAGCAGGAGAGGCTGAGCTAATGATCATGCAGGCAGGAAAGAACACTCAGAAAAATGAGGCACCAGCTGCCAACATGTGACAAAGTTTTGCCTTTACTGCTAGCATTGCTCAGCAAGTAAACACCCCATTGAAGGATAGAAACCTCAGCCTGAATGAAAGCTCAGGAGATCGTTTCCCTAAAAGATGGTAAGAAAAACTGTTAGCACCACTTGGGTAAGAGATGGACTCAGCTATGCTCTCTGGAAGCTCTAAGTAAACTAGGCCTTGTCTTTTTCCTACGTTTGAGAACAGGTGGAAGGGTAATGCACCAAAGGGCCTTCCTGCAGGCCACCACCCCACACCCCCAAGGCCCTTCAGTAAGATGAATGATGCCCCTCCAACAAGACTGCCTGCCACGTGGTGCCTTCACTGCACTGGGGGCTCCTGGCGGTGCTGGGTCTTCTGGTGCCGGTTGAGGATGGACCTCTGGTTGAAGCTTCGCCCACAAGCAGGGCAGTGGTAGGGCTTCTCTCCTGTGTGGATCCTCTGGTGTCGGACCAGCCGCTCCCCTTTGCTGAAGCGCTTCCCACACACCTGGCACCCATATGGCTTCTCCCCGGTGTGGGCACGCCGGTGCACGGCCAGGTTGGCGTTCCTGCTGAAGCTCTTGCCACACTCACAGGTGTAGGGCTTCTCCCCAGTGTGTGTCCTCCGGTGCACCTGCAGGTGCTGCCTCCGGCTGAAGCTCTTCCAACAATCCCCGCACTTATAGGGCTTCTCCCCAGTGTGGCTGCGCTGGTGGACTTCCAGATGGTGTCTCTGGCTGAAGGTTTTCCAGCACTCACTGCACACGTAGGGTCTCTTCCCCAAGTGGGTTCTCTGGTGCTTCATCAGGTACTCTCTCAGAGTAAAGCCTTTCCCACACTCCATGCAGCCATAGGATTTCTCTTCCTCGTGGGTTCGCTGGTGCCTGACCAGATTGGAACTCCGACTGAAGCCTTTTCCACACTCAGGGCACTGGAAAGGCTTCCAGAAGGAGCTGTGGGTTTTGAGGTCATCATGCAGGGGGAGAGCACCATGCTGGGGAGGAGCAAGCCCGGGCACGCCACCCCCAGAGCCACCTGGCTCCTGCTCACAGGCCCGTCCCAGCCCAGAGCCCTGGAGATCAGCTTCCCCAAACCTCTCAGTCGGCAGTGCAGCCAAAGCCCCTTTCAGTTCTTCCTGCTGGGGTTTGGCCTCTTTTTCCTTGTTCCCAATGCCTACAGGAGAAAGGAGATAAAGACTGACTCTGTGGCAGCCACAAAAGGACATTTATATGTTAGAACTTTGCTTCTGAGGGGTCCCAATCACAGTTACTTCTCTTTCCTTTACCTCTTTCCACCTCCATGGCTTTTTACAGAATAGTCTTCCAAATTTTAGTGCCCTCCCACTTAGCTTTCTACTAATCCAGACTTTCATTTCCTTCAAAATCTAACTCAATGTTTTCCTCTAAGAAATATGCCCTGATTATTCTCTTACCCCAGGGTTCTTCAGCACTGATGTACTCAATAAGCACATTATTATTTGGCACTTATTTACATGTGACCCTGTGGGAAATGCTAATTTCCACTCCTCCAGATGTTCCACCTTCCCCCCAGGATTATAAAGCTGCTCCAACACAGGGTGGTGTGCAGCCCTCCAGACCCTCCACAGCAAGCTCAGGCCCCTGTCCCTGCCCACATGCTCCCTCCCCTAACCAGCAACCTTAACTGGGTCTCCTGGAACCCTGGCAGAGGACTGACTCAGGGAAGATGCTTGTTATCAGCTAACAGAATGAATGAGCCCCTACATGAGCATATTTATCAGGACTGAAAGGATCATGGTGCCATTGAAAAGCTCAGCTTGACCCCTTCTGTCCTCATTCTGATCCCTTTTCCCCTCTAAATTAAGAGAAAAGTTGTTTCTGGAAGAATAAGGGGAAGAGGAAAAAGAGCAGAACAGGTACTAGGGAGCAAAGAGGTCAAGAGAACAAAGAAAGAGAAAAAGATAAATGACAAGTGGCACTTAAAGGCAGAAAGAATCCTTTCAGGCTAGTGCATAAGAAGGTAAAAAGAAACTAACTGACCTTATGTGCCTTCTCCTTTGATAAAATATGAAATACACAAAGATCATCTCAAACTTACTCTTTTGTTTTATAAGCTCCTCATGGAAGTAAAAGTACACAAAACATAAAGGTAGAGCTCAGATAATTTTCATAATGAACCCCACAGTGTAAACAAAATCCAGTTAAAAAAACAGAACATAACCAGCACCCAGAATCCCCCCTTCCATCTCCTCCATTACTATCCCCTGGCCCCAAAGGGGACACATTATCCAGACTCTTTAGTCTGCCCTTGAATGTTTTGTCAGTTATTCATACATTGTTTCTGGCTGCTTCTGCTCAATATTAGGCTTTTGAGATTCAGCCATGTCAATGTGTAACAATTAACATAGTTTGTTCTTTTTCACTGGTATATAGTATTCTGTTGTGAGATTATATCACAATATATTTATTAATTTGGCTGATGTTCATCTGGGTAGTTTCCAGTTTGGAGCTGTTATAAACAGTGTAAAATTAAGTGTAAGTGTAAAATAAAGTGTCAGTGTAAAATTAAGACTAAATGCAGTGCACAAAACTTAACTAGATCCTAGGTAAAGCTGATTATATGCTAGATATTATACATGGAAATTATGTTTATTTTCTTAGGTGAAATTATAATACTGTGTTAGGTTGGAATGTCAATATTAGAAAACACATGCTGACGAATTTAAGAATGAAAGATCGAGATGTCCTCAACTTCCAAATCCTTCCAAAACCACATATACACATTTTATAGATAAATATGGCAAATGTTAATTATTGAATCTAGATAAAGGTGTATGTTCACTGTACTAGTCTTAGCTTTTCTGTACATTTGAAAATTTTTACAATAAAAGGTCAAAATATAAAGCTGACGGAAAATAAATACAATGAAATATCTAAGCACAGACAGACAGTGGGAGAAAGATCCAGTAGTAGAAAGAGAATGGTTGTGAATGTTGCATTGGCTACTAGACTGCCATGTGATCATGGAAAATAAATTAACCTCTCTGAGCATTACAATCTTCACCTTCAAAATGGATTGTACATCCATGAAGGCTGCTGCACACATGGATCTGATATTCAATAGTAGGTAGTATTATTTTAGCCCCCAGACCAGGTACATGATTTCCAGCTACTTCCAGGGACCCTGTACTTGTACCTCAAACTCAACAAATGGAACCCTCCATTCTCCCCCTTAGGAAAACATTTCCCTCCCTTTCTGGCAGTAGCAACATCATTTTTCCAGTCCCCTAGCCAGAATCTTAGACTCCTCTTTGACTCTTCTCTTTCCTTTCCTCTGGTCTATCAGTGATAATCCTCAGATTTCAGTAAACTCCTTTCTTCACAGCCATCAGCCTGGTTCCTTCTCTTACCCTTGTGCCTATGTTACTTCAACCCTCCAGGCTGACTATACCCTGCCATCAATTCAATTTTCCTCAAGTAAAGCTTCCATTACGTTACTGAAAAATTTTAAAACAAAGCACCCATAGTCCTCATGGCTGGCTTCACTCTGTTTACCCCAGCCTCTTTCTTACTCTTCTGAACACTCATCTTTCACCTCAGGGTCCTCACCACCTTGGGAACCAGCCAATAGATTCCTACATTCAGGTTTGTGCAAATGGTATTCTTTGCCTCTGTGATTCTAAATCATCTTCTAAATTCCTACTCCATCCCAGTCCTATGTCTCCATCCTCCTCATTACCATTACTGCAATTACAACACAGACCACGAGGTTTGCAGTTAATTGTTCTCTAATGAGAACAGACCAAGAACTGGAAGGGATCTGAGCACCCATTTGACCCAACCTTTCTCCTATATGTCCATCCTCTACTGATGAAGCGGCTCAGGCCCAGCCCCACACAGCTGTCAGTGTAAGAGCTGGATGACATGAGAATGAACCTCAGGAAGACCCGATGGCTGGGACAGCTAGCGGATAGAACACTTGGGAAAGGGACAGTCCCATCACCCAGCCTCAGCACAAAGGCTTAGGCATGTGCTTAGGTTGTTCTGAAATACTGAGCTGGTGAGAGACAAGCACAGAACCAGAATCTCTAGAACAGTCAGAAATGGCCAGGAGGGTGTGAAAACACTCTGAGAATGGGAAGGCAGAATCTTCACCCCACACAATAGCATCACTGGCAGAAGTACCTCCCTGAGGAGGATCATGGTGCTGGAAGGCTGGAACCTCCGTCTGGGGCATGTCACTTGAGCCCCTGATCTGTGCAGTTATCCCTGAAGCTTTCCACATCCTTTGTCATTGCAGCATTGTAATGCTGCAATGACAGCATTATGTAAATGCTGTCTATGTAAAACATGCTGGCATCCGGCCACTCATGTCACTGTCATGCTGAGACAACTTTGCCCTGTGCCCAGGTCTTGCCCCCACCCCATATACTAACCCATCATGACCACCACTACATGCACTTGGCCTCTTCACCTGAACTACGAGACCCTAGAGGTAAGCTCCTTTGTTTTCAACTCTTCATAGTGACAGCAGAGCACTGGCCACACAGTAAGTACCAAATGCATCTTCATGGGTAAATAAGTAAATAAATGCTAACTCATAAAGGAATCACTTAATATTTCCACAACTCATAAAACAATCTGACACCATCATGGTTGCCACACATGTAGATGGATTATCTCCTTTCATCCTCACAGCACTGTAAGGCCATGTTCTATGAAAGATAAGAGACTCAGAGCAGAACAAGGAGAGGGCCGTTCCAGCCATATTGTTTTCTTTTCCCCACTGTTCTCTTTCCACACAGGCTGCACCTTGGCAGGCTCCAAGCCCCATGGCGCCCTCTGCTGGCTGCCCCATGGGACTTCACCCTAGACCACCTCCTATGAGCTGCTGTCACTCATGTGCTGGCGCATCCCTGAAGGCACTGACCCTAGGTCAAACCAGGCCACCTAAGGCTAGCTAGGCCCTGCTTCCTTTGTGACTCTGCCTGCACCAACCTTTCCCATGGCTAAACTCACACTATGCATCCCCCTGCCCTCCTCCATGCACTGTGTGCTCCCACAATTTCACGTATTTCAGTCTAGCCCACTTCCTGTGGGAACACAAAGCTACTAATGTGAGGCCTGCAATCAGGGAGCACTTATAAATATCTGCCAAATGAACAAGATCAGACACTCCATCTTTTACTGTTTTTCTCTTGCTCTCAAGCTCCTGGTACCCTTAGTCATGGTCACAGAGTAAGTATCTGGGGATCCTAATGAGCAACCTGTCTCACTACAGCCAGAATAATGGCCTCATGTTTTCCTGCTCTATTATTCACCTCCTCTCTCCACACAGGAATGCAGTGAACCACTTTTCCTCTGCACCTGTTCACTCGTCTGCCATGAAATCCTTTGCCAGCTATACCAGGGCTAGGGCAGAAACCAGGACCTGAGCTTTCAAAACTCCTCAGTTTCTTACCTGTGGGTTAAAGACAGAATCTTACCTGCTGAGACTCCGCAGTCCTGTGGTTCCACGTATTCCCCAAAACAGTCTATCTGGGTTGGAGTCACATGCCTCCACTCCTCCTCAGGAAAGACCAAGGCCATATCTTTAAATGGTCCCAACCCCTGAAACAAAAGGAGATGGCTATGGCTAAAGAAAGAATCCTAAGGAGGAGCAGTCTGAAAGCAGGAGCGAACACAGGGGACAACAAAGGGAAGAGCAGAGTAAGACAACAGAAGGACCCTGGACCCTGATGCCTTAGAGGCAGAACCACCTAACTCCCAACAGTTCAATGAGAGCAATTAACTTGTTTGAGCCTCGGCTGTGGCATCTCAGCTTGCCCCTAACAACTGCAGCACCCCATTTCCACTCTGCAGTCACCTTCACTCACACCTCAAGCTTGACAGAGCCTGGGAGCTGCTATCTACTATGTTATCTAGAACAAATTTCCCTAAGAGGCAAGTTCACATTTAGGGAAGCCCTGTCTTAAGAACAATGCCACATTAAAACAAATGCATTCTCATCTTCTCATTCACTATGCCATGAATAACTATTATGGTAGAAGGCATGATCTGACCAAATTAAAACACACTGATGTCATCTCTCATCTCCTCCAAACCACATCCTTTGAAAACAGGAATGAGAAATGGTGTTGGCATCCAACCTTGCCTAAATATGGCTTCAGCTAAGTCAGATTTGACTCACTTTTTTCTGCCTAACCTGTTCTTCATGGAACTCTTTAAGATTCATCCCCTTCAGAAAAGTTCCCTATTGGAAATGTCCCCACCTCCCTGGTAACATTCAGCACCCTGTGGAAGAGAGAGTGCCCCATCTATGCTTCAGTTATCCCCATTTGTGGGGGATGAGTGTTAACAAGGCCCAAGCTCCTAGTGTGGACTGTGTGGGCTAGAGACCACCTTGCTCAGCACTTCTGGGAGCCTCAACCCTGGCTCAGTCACATTCCTGCTGCTATGGTGGGGGGTGTCCAGAGGAACAGCAGCAACAGAAGCATCCATAAAAGGCATCCACACAAAAGGATCTTTATCTCAGGGCTGACTATCATAGCATAGGTAGCTCTGTGGGATTTCTATCATTGTCATCTTCTTCACAATTATAAAAGTAACACCAACAAGTCAATCTTGGCTTAAAGTCCAGGGATAAGGCTCAATGCAAATGAACACCTAGAGACAGTGGTACAACAGAGAAAACGATACCATCAAGTCCACCAGGACTAGAAAAGAGAAGGATGCAACTTTGGGGGTGGGGTGGGGTGGGGCATGTTAGCTGTGTGGAGAAACCTTGGGGAAGGTGAACCTCGATCATGGCAACATCATGATCTCTGGAAGCACAGAGTCACAGCTCACCTGGGATCCAGCTGTAAAGAACCCAGCTGCCACCTCTTGGTCTCTGGTATTCACTGAGGGGAGGCCAGGACCCGCCTGAAGAATAGGCAGAGCTGAAAAGGGACAAAAAGCATGAAAGAATCAGCACTGTCACGTAGTTAGCTTATTCAAAGGTGTCCCCCCACCCGACATACACAACCTCAGGAACCAGGAGACTCCAGATAGAATCACTTTGGTATCACACCTTCCCACACACAGGGGTCCCCCCTACCCTGTTCTCAGCTGGGAAGACGATCCCAGCCCTGTCCCCTCATGTTCCTTAGTCACATTCTAGGAATAAGCCCCTTTGAGATTCAGTAACAAAATAAAGTCACATTATTACTTTGAGAGATATGATTTATATGCCCACTTAAAAAACTATTCCCATGTGTCAGCTGAGTATTTCGTGATGATTTCTAGAAGGGATCTGAGGGAAAGGAGACGAGAGAAACAATTAGAGAACATGATCCCAGGTATCCCCTCCAGAAATCAGAGTCCAGGTAGAAGGAAACAATTTTATTTTATCTATTTCCTCCCAAAGTCAAGGAAGCAGCCAAGAAAATTCAGAATTATACCTTGCAGGTAACTCTGTTTAACTATCACTGGGTTTCTGAAGGACAAAGGGATGAGGTAGCCTGCAAAGCAGTTTTCTGCACCCTTACATGCTATTTGCATCTTACCCTGCTCCTGGAAGTCCTGTGTCCTGTCTCCAGGGTCCTGATTGAGCCGCTCCTCAGTGCCTTGGTCTAGGCCTTGAACTCCTTCCCCATGGGGTATCCCCCACTCGGGCTTGACCTCTACTGGCCCCAGGTGGACGCCAGGCTCCCAAGCACCTCTGCAAAGTGCTGTCTCCTCCTGCTCTCCCTGCACATGGCATGGAACCTAAGAACAGTTCCCAACACCAATTAGAATGAGGCCTGGGCAAGGCTGTTATGAAGGGAGTTGAATTAAAACCTAAAAAGAGAACCAAGAAAAGAACCATTCTAGCTTCATGGGAGAGGAAGGAAAAGCTAGCTGAGCTCTTCCCCAGCATATCAGTAAGGAAGTGAAAAGGAAGTCAAACTCCCTTTATCAGGCCCTGAGCAACTTTACTCTGTCCCTGCCATTTGACAAGAGTCCCTTCTGCCTGCCTGATATCAGTCAAATGTCACCATAAATAACATCACAAAGAGCCCAAATACTGTCCTGCTAAAACTTAGCACAATACACTCACTACTAGAAAAAAAAATTTCCCAATACAAAAACTAAAAATAAAACATGCAAAGCCTAGACTCTGCAGTAAATTAACTAGTGAGAAACAGTTGCTCTAAAAAGAGCAAGGAAAGACAGGAGGACTCTCTCAGAGACACACTCACAAAAACAATGCTCTTCCTGGTCCGCTTTTAAGCTCCTGAACTGGGAGGAGAAAAAAAATTCTCTCAGGGTTCTCCAGGAAGGACAGGAAGTCTAGGGTGACAACAGTGTGGAAGGGAGGCTGAACCATGATGTGACTGGGACTTGTGAGCAACACCATAACATCGGCCCTGTTTCCTTTCCTAGATATCCATCAGGTGACTGTACTATAATGACAGAAATATGGCCAGAGTCCTAAGAAAGCATTTGTGGTGCAGTCACTTGGTGTCATCAGAACACCATTATCAAATCACTACAGGAGCCCTCTGGGCCAACGTCTCAGACACAGACACACCACTACTGTGGACAATTCTTCCCAGGATATTCTTAAGAACAAGAGGGATTCTCTGCATCCCCATAGGCATCTCTGCCCAAAGTGGGCTGGGCCCATGAGGGACCCTGAAAACAGTTACAACTGCCTGCTTTGTGCCTGATACTCACAAAGGAAACATGGCCAGGCCTCTGTCCTAATGGCCACGCAGAGGCTTCAGGCCCTTCTGCATGCCAGTATCTTCCCTGAGAAGGGGTTTTCTTGCTAAAAACTCTACTGCTTTCCAGAAAGTACCTCAGGGAGTCTGGGAGCAGAAGAGGGAGGTTCTATACCTCATCCATTCCCACTGTTTAATAAAATCTTTCAATTCTGGCTACTTCTGAGGTCCCATTCTCCAGAGACCCCTGAACCTCGCCCAGGAGCGCTCAACAAAGCCAGTTTTTTGGCCCTACAAAAAAAATTCTTTCAATTCTTTAAAACTTCCTTCCTAGCCAGGCATGGTGGCTCATACCTATAATCCTAGCATTCTGGGAGGCCAAGGCAGGTGGATTGTTTGAGCTCAGGAGTTCAACACCAGCCTGAGCAAGAGCGAGACCCCACCTCTACTAAAAATAGAAATTACTTGGACAGCTAAAAATACATAGAAAAAATTAGCCAGGTATGGTGGCGCACGCCTGTAGTCCCAGCTACTCAGGAGGCTAAGGCAGAAGGATCGCTTAAGCCCAGGAGTTTAAGGTTGCTGTGAGCTAGGCTGACGCCACAGCACTCTAGCCCAGGCAACAAAGTGAGACTCTGTCTCAAAAAAAAAAAAACAAAAAAAAACTTCCTTCCCACGCCAACAGCACAAGACCTGGATCCCCCTTCTCACCCACCGCCTTGGCCTCTAGCGCTCTTTCTGTCAAGTCCTCCACCATGGCCACCAGGGCCTTGCCACTCTCCAGGCTGTGCTCCCGAATCCATGTGTAGAACTCCCGGGGCAGGATGGTCAGGAACTGCTCCAGCACCAGCAGCTCCAGGATCTGCTCTTTGGTATGTAGCTCAGGCCTCAGCCACTGACGACAGAGCTCTTGGAGCTCTCTAAGAGCTTCCTGGGGTCCAGCTGCCTCCTGGTAGCGGAACTGCCGAAATCTCAGACGAAAAGTCTCAGGACTGGAGTCTTCCCTTGTCCTGCCCCATGGCAACTCTTTCTCCAGTTTTACCACAGGAACACCGGTTTGCTGCTGAGGCTCTTCTGCCATCCCTGGACGCTCTTTAAGCATCTTCACGCTCCCTCGCAGAAGACTGAAAATGACAGTCTTCTGAGAACCCTTTTGAGAACATGAGAAACATCAAAGGTCAGTCTGTCCCAGTCGTCTCTACATCAATGAATATTCTGCTGGAGAACATGGTAATTACTTTCTCTGAGGCATTTTCAAAAGACTGAATATAGATCCTGAAAGTTATGTCAATTCTATTCAGTATCTACTAAGCACTTATTAGGTGCAGAGAATAAATAGAAATGTGTAAGATTTACCTTATTCTCACAAATAGTTTAGGATCTGACTGGAACAATAACACTACAATCAGGGAATAATATAAAATGGGTTAGCCACCAGGGCCCACTCTTCCAATACTAAAGGAAACATATATTCAACATACAAATATATGCATACATATACACATTAGGCATGTAGAAACTAGAAATACAGTAGAGAAAAAGACAAACAAGGAGCTTGCCCTCTTGAAACTCATATACTAGTGAAGGCAGAAGAAAATAAAATGTAATCAAATAAAAAAATTGCAAGTGAGGATAAGTTCTAGAAAGAAAGAAATAGGGTGCTCTGTTAATTGGGGACAGCTTTTCAGAAGACATAGAGACTTGGAGAAAGCTTTTCTGAAGACATGATACTGAGCTGAGACCCAAAGGATAAGAATGAGCCAGTCATTCAAAGAGCATTCCAGGCAAAAGCCTCGAGGCTAGAAATTACTCTGCATGTCCAAGAACAAGCCAAACTCCTCACTTCAAAAGAGTGAAAGGGCAGAGCTGCACACAAAGAGGTGGCAGAGGCAGGCAGAAACCAGATTACTCATGCCCTGGGCCACAGTAAGAAATATGAGCTTTATTCTTAGTTCTTCGTTTGGTGGGGAGCTACATGTTTTACATAAGTCATTCTGTGTCAACAGAAAATAGAGGAGGAAAGAAGAAAAATGGCACTTACGGCAGTTCAAGCAGGAGATGACAAAGGCTTAGATGAGGGTGGTGGCAAAGCAGCAGATAAAATCAAGACATACTTTGAAGGTAAAGCCAACAAACTTGCTGGTGGCTTACATGTGATGGTGTGCTCCACCTACAGAAGACAATGGAGAAACATATATACTATTATTATAAATGACCAAAAGAGTTCTACCTTGTATAGGCTTTACTATTTATAAAGCATGTGAACACATACTTCATTTAAGATTTAAAACAATTCTGTGTAGTGAGTACTACTCCCCCTACTTTTCAGATGGAAAAAAAGAAAAAAGAGGTTAGATAATGATGACTGCCTCCCACATGGTATAGATAAGAAACATGGGAAGCCCAAACAGAGATTAATGTCAATCCAAGTATCCACGAGAAAGAAGAGGCCTGTAGAAGACTGGAGGATGAGTCCTAGTTTCCTCCATGGCGGTTAGGGAGGAGGACCTAAGCTTGGGAGACAGACCTGAAAGTCCAAAGCAACGGGGAAGGGACTCTGCTAATCAGAAAGAGGAAAGATCACCCTGACTGGAGCAGAGAATAAGCAACAGGCAGGAGGCACGTGCGCAGCTCCCGCTAAACATTATATTGGATGTTTGTGTACATGTGTTCGCCCTTAAACCGATTTTACAGTTTCGGTCTATTCGTTTTCTCTGCCGCATCAATTGGGATTTTTAATCCATGACTTTCCAGCTATTGTACTTGTTTGCTCCACTAGTGTACTTATCGCACTATAGCGCACGTTTACCAACGTGTCTCTGGCTACCAGATGCCCTAAAGGCAAGAAAGGTCCTGATTCATCTTTCATCTCTGACACTTGACAAATAGAAGGTGCTCCATTGCTACTCTTCAGATGAGTGTCCTAAGACTTGTTCTAAAATTACTTTCACTTTTCTGAGTTACGCTTTGGTTCAACATCTCAGGTTCGCGGACACCCCTGCGTTAAGCCAGGCCTGGCCGGGTGGGATGATACTGGCTCCTACCTGAGCCTACCGCGGCGCGGCCCCTTCCAGTGCCGACCAGCAGGGCCTGGGTACCGCGAGAGGCAGTGGCGGGGAGATGCGCCGCCCGCAGCTGGGTCTGGGCAGAAGGAGACCGGCTCTCCCGCAGCCCCGCCGCCGCCGAGGCCCGCAGTCGCACCAGCCTGGCCCCGTGCCCTCCCACCACCGGCTGCGACCCTGACCTGCTTCCCACCCGCTGCCCCTCACACTCACCGCCCTCACCCGTGCCCTCCGCGGACCGGAAGTGATCTGAGGACGCTGTCAGACAGGTGCGTGAAAAAGCACCGCTTCCGTTTCCTCTCTAGGATGCTCGGAGGCGCATCTCGATGGTCGCTCGTTGCAGCGCGCGGTTCCCAAGCCGCCGCGGCGGGACCACGAGGGGCTCCTCCTCCGGGGCTGACTGCGCTCCTCGAGGCGTTCTGTCGCCGGCCTCCTTTGCGCCTCCGCGCCTTTGCACCTGCTTCCCCTCTGTGGAAAGGACTCGGTGTATCTCTGGACACACGACCGGACACGGCGCCGCCCTCGAAGGGCTTAAGAGTCCAGACTGTCAACACGAGACTATTCCGCGCTACCGTGCTTTGTGCAAGGCGTAGGGCAGAAGCAAAATTGAAAATGATGGTTCAGGATCGGGGTTTAGAATGAAGGGGTTAGAAATAAAACTGGATTGATAAATCAGTCTAAACTCTGGTTTGGATTGACTCAGAATGTGAATAATCTTCATGTATGCAAAATGGCCTCCTTCCGGCCTGACACCGTCTTGTCTCACTTCCAGCCGGCTGGGCCCAGGGGAGAAGCAGAATCCACTTTTCGGCTGTTTCTCCTATGTTTCAAATCCAAACTTTGTTTTTGTTTTAATTAATACATGTTTTTCATTCTTCAATTTCTATTTGGTTCTTTTTCAACTATTCTAGATTGATCTTTTTAAAAAATATATTCTATTCCCTGCAGATATTTTTTAAGCCTTTCTTTAAACATAGTAAATATAGTTGAGTCTGATAATTGGGAGACCTGAAGTCCCCATGTATTTTTCCGCTGTCTGCCATTCCCACTGCTTTTGCCGGTCCCATTCCCACCTACAGTGCCCCAGAGCGTTCATTTCCCACCATCTCATCAGCTCTAGGATTATCCAACTTTAATTTCTGCCAATCAATAGGGGAAATAAATGTCACCTCATTTCTTATTCATATTTTCTTCATTATGAGTGATGTCAGTCATTATTCATACATTTATTATAACTACTTCTGGCCAGGCGCGGTGGCTCACGCCTGTAATCCTAGCACTCTGGGAGGTCGAGGCGGGCGGATTGCTCGAGGTCAGGAGTTCGAAACCAGCCTGAGCAAGAGCGAGACCCCGTCTCTACTATATAAATAGAAAGAAATTAATTGGCCAACTAATATATATAGAAAAAATTAGCCGGGCATGGTGGTGCACGCCTGTAGTCCCAGCTACTCGGGAGGCTGAGGCAGGAGGATTGCCTGAGCCCAGAAGTTTGAGGTTGCTGTGAGCTAGGCTGATGCCACGGCACTCACTCTAGCCTGGGCAACAAAGCAAGACTCTGTCTCAAAAAAAAATAAAATAAATAACTACTTCTCTTTTTCTATTAACTGGCTTTTCCTTGTGTTTTGATTAAGCTGCTTATCTCTTTCTTATTGATGTATGAGTTTGGGGAGCATTCAATAAATTGGCATTCCTCAAACATACCTTCCTTATATATATCATGATGCCTTGTTTCCTTGTGTGCTTACTTTTGATTATAATCTTATTTTCCTTGGTGAATTTTTTGTGGAACTTCTCTGAGTTCCAGGATAAAATGAATTTCTCTAGAGAGGATTTATATATTTTTTCTTCCACATAATTGCCAGCATCACCAGCCCACGGCCACTCACTGTAAACTATTGTTTGAAGATATTTGAACCATGCTAGTAATAATAAATTTGGGCTGCAGGTGTATGAGGGGTGATTTGTGGTTACAACTTCTCAATGATGGCATTGCGATTGTTGGCTCAGCACTAAGACTAGTTTCCTTGCTGGACCCTGGGGTAGGAATATGGGACACATTACTTATCTCTCTTACACTGATGATGTGGCCTTTGCAGTCCTTCACGAAGGAGGGAAAGCTCTCCTATTAGATACCCTTCCCTATGCTCTAGGCATAACTTACAAAAATCAAATCTCCATAGAATGGTTTCTCTGGGTATTGTTCTTCACCTCGATGCTATCTGATCACCCATTACTATTTTATATTCTTTTTGATACTTTTAAATTTCACTATGTATTTTATCATTTCTGTTGTTTGGGGCAGAAGAATCAGTCCAAATATTTAGTCTGCCATGTTTTCAGATGCAGGAATTCTCCCGTTTATATATTTTACTTCAGCTAGTACAGGAAAAATTAAAATTTTAATTTCTACATAATATTCTATCCTATGAATATAGTATACTGTCTTAATTCCAATTTAGGAGAAATAATCTAGAATACATTCTTTTATTTTACTATTAAAAATAACCTTGGTTCATCTTCTACAGCTATCTTTCACCTTCTACAGCTATCTTTAAAAAAAAAAAAAAAAAAAAAAACCTTGGGCCTGGAGCAGTGGCTCACGCCTGTAACCCTAGCACTCTGGGAGGCTGAGGCGGGCAGATTGCTCGAGGTCAGGAGTTCAAAACCAGCCTGAGCAAGAGCAAGACCCCGTCTCTACTATAAAAATAGAAAGAAATTAATTGGCCAACTAATATATATATAGAAAAAATTAGCCGGGCATGGTGGCACATGCCTGTAGTACCAGCTACTCGGGAGGCTGAGGTAGAAGGATTGCTTGAGCCCAGGAGTTTGAGGTTGCTGTGAGCTAGGCTGATGCCACGGTACTCACTCTAACCCGGGCAATAGAGTGAGACTCTGTCTCAGAAAAATAAATAAATAAATAACCTTGAACAAGCATTCTTATATATAAATACTTGACCTCATCCCTGGTTATTTCCTTAGTATAAATTCCTAGAAATTCAACTCCTGGGTCAATAGGTATAAATATTTTGAAGCATACTAATGCATATGGTTAAAATGTTTCCCAGAAAGTTTATGCCAATCTACATTCCCATGAAATGTAATAGAAGGGTGCTCAACTCACCAAAATTAAGTAAGACTGATTCGTACTCTTTGTGGATTTGATTTTCACTTACTTTTTTTATTTGACCAATTCTGTAGGCCCTGTGGTAAAAATTCCTCCCGCACTATGGCAATAAATTCACCAACAATCTTAGCTTTCATTGGTATTGTGAATGTCCATCCTTTTCTGATTATCCATATGAATGTGGGTGAGAAGATCGGGGAGTTAAGTCATAGACTACTACTCTAATTCTAACTTTAAGCTAAAATTACTAAAATAGTTATGCCTAATCATTCTTAAATCTCTGCCCCCAGAAGCCTCCATGCACTTTCCATACCTTCTACGCCTTTCCAACACACAAGTTCCAATGTTTGTTACCTATCCTATTGGTAAGCCATTCCCTCTCAGGGTGGGTCCCTCTCAGGCCTCTGAGGGTTAATACTTGCTAATGATTTAGAATTTGCCACCACTAGGACCCCATATATTCTCTGGCCTAGCCCACTGTGTCTACCAAGCCAGTCCCCCAGTTGTGGCTTCCCCATACTGGTTCTGCTGGATTGGGGTGGTTTAGGCCACAAATGCATAAGTTGGAGTTTGTAGTTTTTTTCTATGCCTAGTTTCACCTGTAATTGTAGTTTCTATGTTTTTTTCCAAGAAAGAGAAGTAAGAAGACTTGAAACTAGGCTGTCTTCATATCCCTATAAGAAACTTCCAAGATACCTTTTGGAGAGAAATGTAGTAAGAAACTCCAAAAAATTGACCAGGGTGGCTTACGCCTGTAATCCTAGCACTGTGGGAGGCCGAGGTAGGAGGATCACTTGAGCTCAGAAGTTCAAGACCAGCCTGAGCAAGAGCAAGACACTGTCTCTACTAAAAATAGAAAAAATTAGCTGAGCGTGGTGGCACTCACCTGTAGTCCCAGTTACTAGGGAGGCTGAGGCAGGAGGATCGCTTGAGCCCAGGAGTTTGGGGTTACAGTAAGCTATCATGATGCCACTGCACTCTAGCCAGGGTGACAGACCAAGACCCTATCTCAAAAAAAAAGGGGGGAGGGGGAGACTCCATCTCTGCAAAAAATAGAAAAATTAGCCAGGCGTGGTGATTGTGCCTCTGGAGGACAGGACAGGGTAGGATAGTCCCAGCAGGGAGCCTAAGGCAGAGGACTGCTTAAGCCCAGGAGTTAATTGTTAGTTTTTCAGGAATATACCTCTTAGTTCCTCTGCTCAGGTATGTGCCTCTGGGGACAGGGACAAACTCTGATACCTCTGTGTACCCCATGGTGCATCACATGAGGTCCACCTTCAGTGAACACTATTTAGTAGTCACGACAGAGCCCACTTGACTCTGGCCATGTGCATTGCATCCCCTCCCCAGAAAGACATCCACGGCTCCCTGCACTTGTTTTTGAAGTTGCATTGCTTCATTCTAAGAGTTTTTTCCACATATATGTTCTTTAGAGAGAAAAGTGGGAAGCCATTGCTAGGTGGTATCATTGAGATGAAGGGTGGTGATGAAGCCAGTGGAGGACCTGGACCAACATTCTAGCTTCTCCATGGCCCCATCCTAGTGGGGAGGCTGAATGCTCCTCAGGCTGTTAATGGGGGCACCCTGGGGATTCACTTGGGAAACTTCTGGCTCTGGGGAAAGGCTGTAAGCCAGTTTGCTGATTGGCTAACTTGCCTATGCCTTCCCCAGAGGCACAGACTCACCAAGCTCAGGCTTTCAGTCTTAGCAGCTCAATCTCGGGGAAGCTTTCACAGTTAAACACCTCCAACCCTTTCCCCTAAACACATGTTTAAGAAAAGTTGACTGAGTCACCCTTTTATCAGGGGACATCCCTTTTTCTTTTTAACATTATCAATTCAATTTTTGTTTTATTAATACAAAATCCCACTTCACTTGATCATCTTGTAACACTCCTCCCTTCCCTCCTGCTCTCCAGGCTGTTTTGGAGGTAGGGATCAACAGAATAGCCCTTCTTTTGTTGAAAACACCAGCCAAAAAAAGTCACTCAGGAAGCTCAGAGGAGTTCAAAGAACTTTTAAGAAATTTCAGATACAAGGAAGACAGAATCACTCTGAGTATGAGAATGTGGAGGGTTGATTCAACACTCAAGAAGCTCCTGAAAGGCAGCAGACACTGGTGGAGAGGTGGGAGGTACATACACCTACACGTGCACTCACCCAGCTCCAAGAGGGTAGAGGGAAAACATCCTGGGCTAGATAACTGTTTCTTCCTTCAGCAGTGTCTCCTTTTGTACTGAGCTCAGTTCTCCTCCCAAACTCTCCAGCTTGTCCAGCTGCAGGCTCCCCCGGGACTCCTCAATATTCTGAGAAATGGGCAACAGATGGCAGCTGGGGCAGGCTATTTCTTGAGAGAGGTAGATGACACCTAGGCAACAGGAAATGTTAGGGTCAAGTCAGAATGTTGAGCTCCGTGTCCTGGCGGTCAGGAACTATTGATGTGAGTCCCTGTGGTTCTGGACCTGCCCTCCCCTTTCTCCCCTCCAACCTAGAGTATTTATAAAGACAGAAGTGAAAACAGAATGCGCCAACAGACAAGGAATACAAATAGATGGATAAAATCACAGAGTCATGACCAGGGCTGGAAGGCATCTCAGCAATTGCCTAGCCCATTAATAGGTAAGAAAAACAAGGGTTTTGGCCAGGCGCGGTGGCTCACACCTGTAATCCTAGCACTCTGGGAGGCTGAGGCGGGCGGATTGCTCAAGGTCAGGAGTTCAAAACCAGCCTGAGCAAGAGTGAGACCCCGTCTCTACTATAAATAGAAAGTTAATTGGACAACTAATGTATAGAGAAAAAATTAGCTGGTCATGTTGGTGCATGCCTACAGTCTCAGCTACTCGGGAGGCTGAGGCAGTAGGATTGCTTGAGCCCAGGAGTTTGAGGTTGCTGTGAGCTAGGCTGACGCCATGGCACTCACTCTAGCCTGGGCAACAAAGCGAGACTCTGTCTCAAAAAAGAAGAAAAAAGAAAAACAAGGATTTAGAGAGAAGAAAGTCCAACACAAAACCCAGGCCGCTTGATGCCCAACTCAAGACCTTCAGTAAAGTAAAAGAAAGAAAAATAAAACAGCTGATGTTCACAAGAACAAATGGAGATATCTTGAATGAATAACAAATGCTGTGTTAAGGTTAAGACTAAGACAAAAGACAACTTCTATTTTTACCAGTATAGCATATTAGATACTCTCTCATTAAAAAACAGTAAAAATTCTAAATAAAACATTTCTTTAAAAACTTATTTTTAAATGCATCACTGAGCTGGCATCAAAGTAAGATATTCTTAGAAGCCAAAACCAGGAAATACAGGAATCAAGAGAGTTAAGCAAGCATACAATTAGCCTTCACCTTGGCACCCAACCCAGGTAATCCTGAGTTCCCTTCTGTTGGCCATTTGGGGCACAGAAATAGATGAAAAAGCCCAGGGCCTGCTCAAGATGGGGAATCTCATAAGAGCCCGTCATATGAAGTTGGAACCTTGAAGTTATCTATGTTGGCTGAGACTGACAAACATAGGCTGGCTGTTATGTAGATCTGCAGCTAAATTCACAATACAATAGTTTGAGATCCTAGGCTGGTGGTGAACTCAAGCACCAGGCAGAAGCAACTGCAAATCCTTTAGGAGAAAACACTTAAATCCAGGTCTCAAAGATTTCCCACAAATAAAATTCTAAGGAAAATGAATTCACAGGGAAAAAACATAAAGCATACAGGAAACAAGACACCACATGGAAAAGCCTATAGAAACAGCAGAAGACAGACTCAGACCTGCAAATAATTCATGTATGAAACTTATAAGACACAGAATGTAACATAAGTATTTTTCAGCATGTCTGGTAAAAAATATATTTAGAGAATTATTAAAAGTATAAGTAAGGAACAAAAAAATATTAAAAAATGATAAAATTTATGGGAAAGTACTACTTCTAATTATGAAAATAGATTAATTAAAATTAAATGAATAGGTTAAGTAGCACATCAGACAGCTAAAAAATAAATGGGTAAAACAGAAGACACATTGAAATAAGTTAGTCAGAATGCAGCCTATACAGACAAAGAGATAAAAATATGAAAGAGAAATTAAGACACATGAGGGATAGAGTAATAACATCTAACTGGAGTCCCACAAAGGAAAAAAGGAAAAGAAAATGGGGAGAAGATAAAAATGTTCTGTTATAGAAATATTGAAAGACACCACTCCTTAGATTCAGTTCATACAACAAACCATAACACAAATATCCATACCCTACAAATACCAAAGAAAGTCTGAGAGAAAAGAAATGTTACTTTTAAAAAAGTGACATTTGTACAGACAGCCAACTTCTTAACAGCAACAATGGAAGTGGGAAAATAATGTAATAATATCTTGAATGCTGACAGAATAACTGTCAATGTAAAAATGTTCAGCAAAACTAACTTTAATACAGAAAATAAAAGAAAATTTTATACAAACCAAATTTGAGACAGTGTAACTCTAATGGATCCTCATCAAAAAGCATTATAAAGGATATATTTCAGACACAAGAATGATCTTAGATACAAGCTCTAGAAGGTATGGTGAGCAAATAAATTGGTAAATATGTACATAAATGTAAACAAATATTAAATGCATAAAATAATAATAGGAATGCCAAATGTATAAAATAAAAAACAAGAAAATACTAAAACATTAGACAACATAGCATATAAATTGGGGTGGAGAAATTCTTGTATTATTTATAAAGAGAATAAATATATTGATTAACTTTCAACTTTGTTAAGTAAGCATGTTAAAATGTCAAGACTAACTACTATAGAAATAAAAATAGACTGCATAACTTTCAAACTAAAGAGCAGGGAAATGTAATGAGAATTGTGTAAGTAAAAATCAATGAATTCAAAGCAAGGTGGGAGGGGGCAGGTAGCAAAAAAACTGAAAGGATAAATTACGGTTCTAGAAAAAATACACATATATCATAAATCATAATAAATGCAAATCAACGAAATGCTTCAGTGAAGTGACAAAGATTATAAGACTAGATGAAAAAAATCCAGCTGTAAGCTATTTAGAGACATCCAAAACATGAAGGCAGAGAAAAGTTTAAAATAAAAGATTAAAAAGGGGGGGAGGGGGAGAAGGGCATTTATTGAAACTTTAAAATCTGTACCCCCATAATATGCTGAAATAAAAAAAAAAAAGGTATTACAGGAAAATACTAACCTAAAGAATGTAGAGATAGCTATAGTAATATCAGATAAAATAGACTTTATGATAAAAAGGATTACTACATAATGATGAAAAGTTCATTAGTGAAATAAAACAATTCTAAACCAATGAGATACCAAAGATGTAAACAACATAATAAATAATCTTGATCTAATGCTAGAAAGTCTCAATAAAATTGAAAACATAAGATTATACAGCCCATGTTCTCTCACCAAATTAGAACTAAGTTAGAATAACTAACACAAAGGTAAGTTACAATAAAATTTCTGTATTTGGAAAATTAAAAGTATACTTTAAAATAATTACAGGTCAAAGAAGAAATCATAAAGAGAACTAGAAAATATTTGAAATAGAACAATAACAAAAATGTTACACATCAAAATGGGAGATGCATTCTCAACATGGATGGAGCAGAGCAAAAAAAAATTGAAATTAAAAAAGTGGGAGATACAGATAAAAGAATTCTTAGAAGAAAATTAAAGCACTAGATGCCTATTTAGAAAATAATAAATAATTGATGAACTTAGACCCTGATTTAAGAAGTTGGAAAAAGAACAGCAGAACACAAAGCAAGTAGAAGTTCAAAATAAGAGCAGAACTCAATTAAATAGAAAACAAACAAAATATGAAGGTTCAACAAAGCTAAAGCTGGTTCTTTGAAATGACTAAAAAAAGATAAACCTCTGACAAAATTGGTAATGAAAAAAGAGGAAATTAGATACAAAAAAAGAAGTATGTAACTATAGATACAGCACAAATTAAAAATTTTAATAGAAAACATTTTTAGTAACCTTGTCAATAAATTTTATATAAAATTTCATATAAAATACATATTCTATTTGTGTATTTAGTTATATAAATTTTTATATAAAATACATAAATTAATAGAAATATATAACTTAACAAAACTGACTCAAGAAGAAATAAAATACTTAAATAGTGATATAATCACTAAAGAAAATGAATCATGAGCTAAAAATCCTCCCATAGAGAAACACTATGCTCCTTTTACAGGCAAGCTTATAGAGAACAAAATAATTCTAAATACAATTCTAAATACAAATTCAGAGATTAGAAAAAGAAAGAACACCCCCAAATCACTCTTTCATGCTTGCAAAACCATGATATCCAATCAGTCAAGGTCAGTACAAGAAAGGAAATTTAAAGACCAATCCCACTAGAAAATGTTAGGAAAAAAGTTGAATAACAACAATAGAAAAGATAATAGTCTGGGTGCAGTGGCTCACATGCATAATCCTAGCACTTTGAGAAGCCTAGGCTGGAGGATCACTTGAGAACAGGAGTTTGAAAGTAGCCTGAGCAATAGCGAGATTCTGTCTCCACCAAAATAAAATTTTTTTGAATTAGCCAGGCATCATGGAACATGCCTATAGTTCCAGCTACTTGGGAGGCTGAGGCAGGTGGCTCACTTAAGCCCAGGAGTTTGACTTTACAGTAAGCTATGATCATGCCACTGTAAAACACCCTGGGTGACAGATGGAGACCCTGTCTCAAAAAAAAAAAAGATAAAATGTAATGTGCAAGTTGAGTTTGTTTCAGAAATGTAAAGTTTAAGTTTGGAAACAATGTTATCTGCCATGTTAACATGCTAAAGGAGAAAAACTAATATCTCAAAACATATAAAAAGAAAAAGCAACTAATAAAACTTAACATTCACTCATGATTAAAAAGAAAACCAAATTCTTTGCAAACTGGGACTAGAAGGTAATTTCCTTAAAACAATAAAGATTGTCTACCCTAAATATGTACAAACACTATACTTTATAATGAAACATCCAAAGCATTCCCTTTAGGATCACCACTTCTATTATCATTATACTAAAGGTACAAATATCTAGGGAAAAAAGTCAAGCAAAAACATAAAATTATAAAACTTTTTAAAACTCACTAAAGAACATCTAATGAAATAGGAAGAAAATATGTTCATGGACAGGAAGATTCAATATTTTTTTTAAAAAAAGAATCAGTTTTCCTTAATTGATCATAAATTTGATATAATTCCAAACAAAATTCAACAGATTTTTTTCTGTGAAATGTCACAAGCTGATTCTAAAAGTTGTATGTATAAAAAAAAAGTCTAAGAATAACTTCAATACCTTTCAATAAGAACAAGGGGGAGTGGCCAGATGCAATGCCTCATACCTGTAATCCTAGCACACTGGGAGGCCAAGGCAGGAGGATCGCTTGAGCTCAGGAGTTCAAGACCAGCCTGACCAACATTGCAAGAACTCCATCTCTACAAAAATTTAAAAATTATCTGAGTGGTAGTGTGCTACTATAGTCCCAGCTACTTGGGAGGCTGAGACAGGAGAATTGCTTGAGCCAAGGAGTTGGAGGTTGCAGTGAGGTATGATGACACCACTGTACTCTACCCAGGTTGACAGAGAAAGATTCTGTCTCAAAAAAAACGAACAAGGGAGAGGATTTTTCCTACCATATATCAAGATATATATCAAGATACTATAAAGCTCCAGTAATTATGAAATCATGGTTTATGCTTTAAAATAGATTAGTGGAATATGCAAATTTAATTAAGTGAAATGGCAATGCAAATCAGTGCAGAAAGGATAGATTAATCATTAAACAGCATTATGACAACTGGATATTCCTCTGAAAAACAAAATGAGAGTGATCCCATCACACCATAAATCAACACAACATGAATTAAAGAGTTAAATATAGAAGGTAAAACTACAAAACTTCAGAAGATAATACAATGAAATATCTTTAAGACCTCACCAAGGAAATATTTCTTAAATACTACACAAAAGATAGAAACCATTTAAAGGAAAATATCAATAAATTTAATTACAATAAAATTAGCTAAATAAAGTCCAATAAAAAATCCTAACATTAGGATTTCTGTTCCTAAAAGACACCACAAAAGAAGTATAAAGCCAACCCATAAACTGGGAGAAAATAGTAATAAATAAACACCTATAGTAATAAATTACTAGTATCTAAAATATAAAAAGACCTCCTACAAATCAATTTGAAATGGACAAAAATATAGGCAAAAAGCTAAATAGGAACTCCCTAGAAGAGGAAACACAAATGGCCAATAAACAGATGAAAACATGTTCAATCTGATTAATAATCAAGGAAACATATTAATAGCATAAGATACCATCTTATACCAATTAAATTGGCAAAGTTAAAAATCTGACGATTTCAAGTGTTGACATGGAGGTGGAGCAACAGGAATTCTTTAACTTTGCAAGTAGGAGTGTAAACTGTTATAATCTCTCAGGAAATCTATTTGGCATCATCTGATGCCAAAACCTGAAAACATGCATAATATTCTCAATCCAGAAATTCCAGTCTTAGGCATATATATCCTAGAGAGCGTCCTACACAAATACAATAGGAGACATGCATGTATGGGAAAGTTCATAACAGTCTCATTGATAATAGGGGAAAAAACTAAAAACTATCCAATGTCCACTAACAGGAAAATAGATAAATTGTAGAATATTTACACAATTAAATAGTTAAAGCAATAAAACTGAATGATCCTCAGTTACTCTTATTAACATTGAAGGAATCTCAGAGATATAATGTTGACCAAACATAGCAAGTTCCAGAAGAATAAATACAGTATAATTACATTTATTTAAAGTTTTGAAACATGTAAAATTAAATATTATTTAAGGATATATATGTGAGTAGAAATTATAAGTAGCATAAATTTCAGAATAATTGTTTCTGGAGGGGGAAAAGAGGATGCGATCAGGAAGAATATGGGGGATGGGGTGCTTTAAAGATACCGGTTATGTTCTATGTTCTACCATATTTCATCAATTCTGAGAAGCCAATTTTTTTTCACATCTTAACATCTCTGAAATAAGGATGTATCTTAAAAGCTGTAGCATTGCCGGGCACGGTGGCTCACGCCTGTAATCCTAGCACTCTGGGAGGCCGAGGCGGGCGGATTGCTCGAGGTCAGGAGTTCAAAACCAGCCTGAGCAGAGGCGCCCGTTTACATAATCACAGGACAATTTTGACACATAATATCATTCAGAAAATTACAGCGATGGTGGCACATTCGGCCTGTATTCAGCTCACTCACAGGGCGCAGCTGAGCAGGCGGATCGCCTGGCGGCGGAGTTTTGAGGTTGTGATACACGCTGACGCACGGACTCACTCTAAGCGGCAACAGAGTGAGATCTTTGTTCACCCAACAACGTTTGGCATTTAGATTATCTCGGCATTTATCACCTTTTTAATTTTTCTTTCTCAGTGGCACATAAAATAGTATTGTGACTTACAATTAATTTGATGAACTATGGCTATTTTTTAAATAGTACTGGGCAGAACTAATGGGTATGTGGTTTATTTTTAATTACTTGAATCTTATATTATAAATTTTATTTTTATATATTCAATGTGTAAAAAAATTGGGTTTTGATAGCATATGATCATGGGTTGGTATAAATCAGGCGGAGAGAGATAGGAGTAGGAACAAAAACAGACAAGATTAAGAAATCATAGATGTGATGCAATTTTGACAAATATAGGGGGTAGAGGAAGGAACCAGATGGTAGATTTCGGGAAAAAGTTAGAAATAGGAATAACAGCCTTTGCAACCAGGATGTTGTGAGGGAGACTCCAGAAACTGGAAGAGTTTGGTTCTACAGCCAAGAAAGATAAGAACAGGAAGGCCAGGAGACGGGGAAACGCTGAGACACCAGAGTAGCGCTGTGACACCAGAGTAGCGCTGTCTGGTAGAACTTTCTGCAAAGACAAAAATTTCTCTTTCTGCACTGTCCAGTGTGGTAGCCATGAGACACTCGTGGTTATTGAACATTTGCAATGTGGCTGAATTTTAAACTTTATTCTATTAATACTTTAACTAATTAAAGTTAAATAGCCACATGTAGCTAGTGGCTGCAGTTTGGAACAGCACAGCTCTAGTGAATCCTCCCGAGAGAGGCTCCTAATCCCAACAGGGATTAGGAGCAGGAAGAGGGGCACCAGCCCCTGCACACTCACCAGCCACCACGAACAGAAGGATGCCGAAGCCCAGGATATAGTAAGGCCACTGCACGAAGAACTGTGGGGGGCTGGGCTTCATCCTCAGATCCTGGATCTCCAGGGCATGCAGCACCAAGGCCAGGAAGGCACAGGCCCCTGCAGGGTCACAGGGAGGTACCCTCGCTCTCCTCTAAGGCTTCCTGCCCTGGGTCCCACCTACCTCAGACTTACAGCCATGTGTGGCCGACAGCCCATGCTGCTCTACTGGGAGGCTCCTTTATCCTGCCTGCATCCCTCCTTTCCAACTCACCTCGAAGCCCTTGTGCCTCACCTCCCAGGGGCCCATCTTCAGAAATCCATCTCCTAGTACCCTGTACATCTGTGCCTTTGGTCCACTCTAGGTTTGGCCCTCTGGGTGTGATACTGGATGAAACTCACCCTGATTTTCCCACTGGATGTGTTCCACCTGCTCCATTTACCTGGGAGTTTCCCAGGGAGGGCAGGCCCGGGGTCACTCTTTTAAAATGTTAAAAGCTTCCAAAGGGCAGAGATGGTCTCTTACATTCATTCATTCATTCATTCAAGAACCATTCTATTTCATTTATACTATATATTTCAATTGTAATTCTATGCCAGCCTCTATGACAGTCCCTGGGATACACAGGTTCTGGTAAAAAGGCCTCCCAGACAAACGATCCCAAGCCCACATGGTCAGGTATGGCTAGCAGGAAGTGGAGAGTGGTAAGAAGCCCCCAAAAAGAGAGATCCTACATTGTGAGGGGCAGATGTGGGGGTGGGTTACTTCACAGAGATGGCAACAGACGAGGGGCCTTAAAAATTATGCCTCTCTTGACACCCCAGAGACCATATGCCCCCCTTCTTGTGGACCCCTCCCCAGGCCCTGGCAAAGGACAGGGACTGCCTGGCTGTTCCACACCTGTGAGGAAGCTGATGAAGGCTGACACAAAAGTGCACTTCCGGGTCCTTGGGAAGAGCTCAGATGCAAAGGACACCATGATGACGGTGGTGAGGAAAGCCAGTACGACTGCAGAGAGCAGGAAAACCCGGCCGAGGAGGATGTAAACTGCAGGGGACAGACAGCTGGAGCTGGAGCTGGGGACCCTGACCCAAAGAGGCAGAGCCCAGGTGAGGCTGGCCCCTGGAGCCTCCCCTATCCTCAAGTCCCAAAGCATGGCCTTGGGACCAAGGTTGCCACTTTGCCCCTAAGAGTGCTCTGGCCTCACCATTTTGTTGGAAGTATATGGGAAAAAGTTAGAGCAACATCAAACACTGAAATCATTCATCAGTTCTTAACAAATATTACTATATGAATCTGGTTGTATCAAACCATGTAGGGAAACTATGTATAATCCATTAGGGAAAAGTGGTGGTTTTAACAAACAAGATGAAATCAAACTTTCATGATAAAAATTTGTCGCATGTGCAAATGTGAAGAATCATGTCTAAATTGATTACACTGAAATAACTCACCCATGCAAAATCAGAACTTCTTGAGGTCAAAATGTTCTGAACTCTGTGGGCCTCCCTATACCCCTATTTAATTTTCCTGGTTAATAGGAGTGAAACCCACCAAGATTAACAGGCCAGTGTCTGGTAGCAGGGTGGTTTATTCTCCTACTGCTGGCATGATGCAGACCCACGTTAAAAGGAGTGTGCAGAGATGGATAGCTGAGTGTGCAGAGATGGATAGCTGAGGGTGGGACAAAGAGGCAAAGGCATTGCAGAAAACCCAGAAATTCCAGAATCTACCCTCATGTTAAACAGTGGTTCTCAACCAGGGGCAATTTTGCCCCTTGAATATTTGCCAAAGACTGTAGATAATTTTGATTGTTACAACTAAAGGTACCTGAAGCACCTACAGCTGGGCAGGTGTGTGGCCAAAGGGACAAGTAGGGGCTGAAGTCCAGCCACACTCTGCTGACCAGGGCTGTTCCCCTGGCTTGGAGCAGTGCCCACCCAAAAGGGTGGTGAGAGCTGGTGTCCCCCACAGAGCAGTGGGACCCCCTCCTTCCTCTCCTAGCTAGAGCACTCATAGCACAGCATTGTTACTGACACATCTGCTCCGACTCCAGTGATCAACCTGGTGTGACAAACCAGCCTCCTACTTTCCTCCAGCCCCAAGAAAGTGGAGATTCAGGGAAAATGCCCTCATGGGCTTACTAAATTTTGTCCTATCTGCCCCCAACCTGTCCTGTCATTCCCAGTCGCCACACTGGCCCCATCTCCCTTCTCCCACCACCCCACCCCACCATCGCTCCTCACTGGATAAGGGTCGAGGCTTCCAGCACTTGATATGGAAGCAGTTTTCAAACAGGCCACTGAAAAACACTTCATGGGACTCCTCGTTCATGAGCCGCACCCAGAAGGGAAAGACGGACACCAGCAGGATGAGCAGGTAGCCCAGGCAGGTCAAGGCCGGGGCTACGGCCCAGGTGAATCCCTTCATATCCTTCTCCTCTAATGTCAGCATGACCTGTGCAAGGGGAAAATGATGGCAGAGGTGGGACATCGACCAGAATTCTCCCGCAACACAGATGAAAGTGGTAGTGGCTGTGAAGTGCCAGCACCATGTATGGCATGGATGTGAGGATCAGTAAGTATTGATTTCTTTGCCTGGCTTAACTTCACAGCCTACAGATCTCTGCAGCAGGCCAACAAATGCATAAAACATTTTCTGCCACTAACTCACTGGGTGATGGTGGGCATGTCAGGTTCCCCTCTGAGCCCCAATTTCCTCCTCTGGTAAAGTGAGGAGGTTGGACGGGGCCATTCCCGAAGCCTCTTCAGCTCCAAAGTCCTAACCTTTCAACTGTATCAACCCCCACCCCACTGGCCATCAGAAGGAACACAGCCACCCTCTTTTGCAGTCAGCTTTCGGCCTTCTGAGATTTCAGAATGAGAACCAGTGGAGAGAGAGTAGGACTAGCGTCTCAGGTGCCCTTACTCAGTGACCAGCCTTCTGACCACAGGAACCCTGGCTTTAGACGGGGAGAGTCCATCTGGCCTGGAGAAGCCCTCTGCTGAAAAACGAACAGATCATATGCAACAATTTCACGAACACTCTCAGTGTTTCGTAGCACCTCTGGCAGCCCCAGGCCCTTAGTGAAGGATCCTCTTACATGGTGTCCGTCATCCACACTGCTCTCTTTCATCACCATCTGTCATTAGATTTCTTTTGAATGAGCAAATGGCACCTTGGTATGTAAGTGCTGCCTGGTCTTGTCCCAGCTTTACTACTTCCCAGATGTGTCATCTTGGGGAACTTGCTCAAACTCTCAGGACCTTGGTTTCCCCATTTGGAAAGGGAAGAGTATAACACCTGCCCAATAATGCCACCAGAAGGACCAAAGGAAACAAAGCATATCAAAGTGTCCAGCACAGTGCTCAGCGCTCAGGTACTTGGTTAAAGCTGGCAGTCAGGGGGCGGAGGGCAGACTGCTTCTATAATTCAGATATCTCTATGGGAGAAGGGGCTAGTAGGCACTCACAGCTTCAGGGCAAACCTATTCAACAAGTCCTTTCCTCTCTGTGCTGGGCCTGGTAGCTCCAAGGAATAAGAGTTTCCTGGAGGCAGCTAGGGAGGAGCAGAAAAGGGAGAGGAGGTGGCTACAGCAGGCTGCAGGGATGACAGTCCTGGTCGCAGACCTCCAGGTGGTGCTGTGATGACCCTGGCTACCTGGCAGTGCAGAAGGGGACATCAGGTGAAAAGGAAGACCTGAGGAAGCGAGTGCACCCCTAGACAACAGCTCTTCTTTCCAAGTCACACCCAACGCCAGGCCTGGAGACTCCTACCTACGCAGGATGGGCTTGGTGGCACCAAGGTTTATAAGCTGAACACAGTGACTGCAAAAGACAAGGCTGTGAGGTACAGGTGCTTCTCTCCCCTTTCCCCTGTGCCCTGTGCCAACAGCATGCCCAGTGCCAGGCACTGGGGCCTCCCTACGGTCCTGACAAGGCCCTCACTGCACCTGGGGGAAGAGCCATCTTCCTAACTGCTGATGGCCATGGCCAAACAAGCCTAAGGGCAGAGGGCAAAGGGGTGGGTCCCCTTCTGCACCCCCAACACCCAAAAACGCTGATCAAGTGTTCCTCTTGGGCCGGGCGCTGTGGCTCACGCCTGTAATCCTAGCTCTTGGGAGGCCGAGGCGGGCGGATTGCTCAAGGTCAGGAGTTCAAAACCAGCCTGAGCGAGACCCCGTCTCTACTATAAATAGAAAGAAATTAATTGGCCAACTGATATATATATATAAAAAAAATTAGCCGGGCATGGTGGCGCATGCCTGTAGTCCCAGCTACCCGGGAGGCTGAGGCAGAAGGATTGCTTGAGCCCAGGAGTTTGAGGTTGCTGTGAGCTAGGCTGACGCCACGGCACTCACTCTAGCCTGGGCAACAAAGCGAGACTCTGTCTCAAAAAAAAAAAAAAAAAAAAGTGTTCCTCTTGGATGCTGTCAAAATGACTTGAAATGCTCCAAAGTTCTTCCTCTTCCTTTCTGTCCTTCACTGGCTTCTCTCTTCTTCCCACCTGAGAAACTGTATCCTTCCCTCTCTCAAAATCTCGCCTTTCCATCTTCCAACCTCTCTCCAGGCCACACTGACCAGTCACCTCACCCTCAGGACCTCAGCCTCCTTCTCTCTAAAATGATGAAGTTGGTTAGAGGAGAGAGAGCTGAGGAGTCCAGCTGGCTCTAGAACTCAACAGGAAGGACTCACGGCTGCACCTTGGCCCTGTCCTCTGCAGGAGATAGTGTGTGCGGGGCACTCTCATTTGGTAGTCAACACCTCCTCCTGTCCCCTACACCGCAACTTCTCTAGAAGTGACCTTGTTGTCTTCCCTATTTCCATCATCCTCTCCCGCATCCCAGCTCTAGCCTTGAGCTCACACTGGTTTCTCCCTCCCCTGCCAACACTTCCATCTCCTCAGCCTTCCTCATCTTCTCAGTGTTCCTTTCATAACTTCCCCAAGCATCCATCCTTCCTGTCCCCATAGCTGCCACACCTCCATCCACACCTGGAACACCCCAGTCACCCCAGGCCCTCTGTGCCTGGGTTCCTTCCCCAAGAGTGCATGCTCTGACCCTCCAAGCCTTTCAAATCTCACTCCCCTGATAAGTGTGGTCTATACCGTCCACTCCACGCAGCCCTCCCAGCCATTATCCATTCCCTGGACAAAAATTCACTGTGCACTTATGAGTCACCCCATGCCCAGCGTAGGCCAGTGGTGGGAATTCAGGGATGAAAAGACAGGAACTTAGAAGCTCTTGGTAATACATGTCAATGGGGTAATACATGTCACATGACACAGGACTATGCTTTCCCCTGCCTAGGGACACTATTCCCAGTCTGTCCTGACCACCCCCCCAGGCCAGGCTGCTCTCCAGTGATGAGGAACTTGTCCTCCATTACCTGGGCACTGGCCAGGCTCTGTATGAAACAGCCCTTAGTGCTAAGAATGGACACCTGTGCCTTTACAGGCAATTTAAGATACACACTGATGTAGGCCAGACTCGAGGATCATAGACATTTGAATATAAAAAAGGATTTGTAGATCTCTTTGTGCTGACAAAGACCAGGGCAGCTGGAGAGCAAAGGATGGATGGGGGATGCCAGTCAGTCAATGCTGGTGCTGCCTGACCCGCTGCACCAGCCACCAAGGGCCAGCAGTTTAGTTTAGTGATTCCCAAATCTGAAACTGAGCCAGAGAATTAGTTCTCATAAATGTGTCCATGTGCATGTGTGAGAAAGGGAGAGAGGATGGGGGAACATGTGATTACAACTTTGTATTTTGCCAGGGCATTCATTTTTTAATTTTGTTTTGTTTTGTTTTTTTATTTTGTTTTGTTTTGTTTTACTATAATTTTTTAAAGGACCTAATTCCAGGGAGTATAAGAGCTGATATTCCTGGTGCCTGGACCAGCATCTGGGGACCACTGGTTTGGCTGCAGATTCCTCATCTCGAGCCTGATCCTGACACCTTCCAGTCCCTGTGCCCCTCCCTGGGACAGCTGGCAACTGCTAGAGACGGGAGCAGGGAAGAAGTGGGCAACCTAAAGCACATCTGGGCTTGGAAGCGGGAGGAGGCTGAAGGAGCAGACCCTTCCCTCCACTGTTCCCTCCTGTAGACTGTGGCAACTGGGGCTGCAAACCGACAGAGGGGCCGTCAGAGCTCCCTTCCTGCTGACAGCCTTTCCTCAGACTGCCAGGAGGCTGCCCTTCTGTGGCCCCAAAGCCACAGGGACAATTTCCAGAGCCCAAGATTAGCCCTAACCTAGCCATTGGCCCACAGACCCTGTCCTGCGCGTCCCCACAGCCAGTCAGGTGACGTTGGGTGGGGGCTTCTCCACACCCTTCCCCCCACCCCCTCCCAACCTTTGGGCCCCTCCTTCGGTTGGGGTCCCCCTTCCCCAGGGAAGGGCTTCCCCCCAGGTGTGTCCCTTTGGGCCCCTCGTCGGCCCCTTCAGACCCAGGCGCGGTCCAAGCTTCCGTTGGCCCCTCAGGCCCGGTCTTCCGCAGAACCCCTTGCCGGGCCCTGGGCAGTGAGCTCCACCCCCGCAACGCCCTCCCCCGCACCCCGAGGTCCCAAGCGGAGATGAGGGAGGATCCGGGCCTTCCCCACTGCCCACCGCCCTCCCGCTTACCTGTCCCTTGTCAGCGATGTGGTGATCTGGCAGTTGCATGTTTACTCCTAGTACTGGCCTCGCTCACGGGAGGGGCGGGGGCGGAGTAATCGAGAGTCGGATGGATCTGAATTCGAATTTCAGCTCTGCCATTACCAGCAGGGCCACTCTGGGTAAGTCACTTCTCTTTCCTGGGTGTGGGTTTTTTCATCGGTAAAACGGGAATGATAATAGTAACTCCGTGCCTTACAAAGATCCCCACACATAGCACTACATAAACTGCAGCTCAGAGCTGGAGCCCTGAGGAAGCCCAGAGTCTCCGACTCCCCGGGTACTGAGTCACTCGCCTTCCCCAGACTCTTGCTTAGCAAGTCCAACCCCCTCCGCGCCCCCACCCGCATGCACTCTGTCCCTCTGTCCCCGCAGGCCGGCCTTGCACTCATTCATCTCCCCCTTCTCTCCCCTCCCGCAAGGCCGTCTGCCCCTCTCGGCAGCACCAGTGATATTGGACCTGCCCCGGCCAGTTTCAAACAGGGTGAAACTTCAAGAAGTGGGCACTGTTGGAGACAGGACTAGCTTCCAGTCCTGGGGTGGGGGCGAGGGGCTGGTTCTAGTGGCAAGAGCAGCCACTTTCAGCTGGATAATCACCAGTGCCCCTTGTGCTAATTCTGTGTCCACCAAAGAAATGAATTTGTAACTCCTAAGACTTTAAAAAGCCAGGATCTCCCGACAGCTCGCCACTAGCTGGAACATAGTCACAGACTACAGGAAGGGGTGAGAGTAGATGGGCTGAGTCACCTATCATGTCAGAAGCACATGACAGGTCCTCGTGCTACTGAGGACTCTATTTGTTATAAGGTTCAGAACCCAATTTGCAAACACTTAGGCAAGAGAGGGCCTGTATTGACTTGGCTGGGCTGGGTGGAGGTGCAGCAGAGAGGAGGGGAACCAGGCAAGGAGGCCCCTGCAGTCCCCCTCTCTTCCCTGATCTCAGGGAGAGCTTTGATCTCCCCACCCCCTTAGGCTTTCATTCTACAGGTGGTAGGGCAAATAGTCACCAACAACTTCTAGACTCATATCCTCAAATTTGGCTACCCTAGGGAAAAAGAATGCTTTCCTCACCCCTACTTAGTTCAAAATTTCCCAGGGAAGTATTCTGATGGGCCCAGCTGGGGTCACAGGCTCATTGCACTCTGGTTAAAGGAGATGAGGTACAATGACCAGCTAGCTGCACCCCACAGTGGCCAAGCAAGCAGGATCATGTGCGAAGCCAGCAGTTTGGACCACATATCTGAAGCAGGGTAAGGAGAACTTTCTTGAGGAAAGGGGCTGGTGTTCTCAGAAGAAGGGAGAAATCAGGGCAGTCCATGACAGCATTTTCATATGAACTGTCTTTTTTCTTTTCTTTTCTTTTCTTTTACAAATAAAACTCAATGGATCATCCCAGGGATGCAGGGATGGTTCAACATACGTAAATCTATAAATGCAATTCACCACATAAACAGAAGCAAAAACAAAGACCACATGATTCTTTCAATAGATGCAGAAAAAGCTTTTGACAAAATTCAACACCCTTTCATGATACGAACACTTAAGAAAATAGGCATAGAAGGGACATACCTAAAAATGATACAAGCCATATATGACAGACCCATAGCCAACATCGTACTGAATGGGGAAAGATTGAAATCATTCCCACTTAGAACTGGAACCAGACAAGGCTGCCCACTATCTCCACTTCTGTTCAACATAGTGCTGGAAGTCTTGGCTACAGCAATCAGACAGGAAAATGGAATCAAAGGTATCCAAATAGGGGCAGAAGAGATCAAACTTTCACTGTTTGCTGATGATATGATATTGTATCTAGAAAACCCCAAGGATTCAACCAAGAAACTCCTGGAACTGATCAATGAATTTAGTAAAGTCTCAGGATACAAAATTAATACACAGAAATCAGAGGCATTCATATACGCCAACAACAATCTAATTGAGAACCAAATCAAAGACTCAATTCCCTTCACAATAGCAACAAAGAAATTAAAGTACCTAGGAATATATTTAACCAAAGAGGTAAAAGACCTCTACAGGGAGAACTATGAAACACTGAGGAAGGAAATAGCAGAGGATGTAAACAGATGGAAATCCATACCATGCTCGTGGATCGGCAGACTCAATATCATCAAAATGTCTATACTACCCAAACTGATCTACAGATTCAATGCAATACCTATTAAAATCCCATCAGCATTCTTCACAGATATAGAAAAAATAATTTTACGCTTCGTATGGAACCAAAGAAGACCCCGAATATCAAGAGCAATTCTAGGCAACAAAAACAAAATAGGAGGCATTAATATGCCAGATATCAAACTATACTACAAAGCTGTAGTAATTAAAACAATATGGTATTGGCACAAAAACAGGAATATAGACCAGTGGAACAGATGTGAGAATCCTGATATAAAACCATCCTCATATAGCCATCTCATCTTTGACAAAGCAGACAAAAACATACGCTGGGGAAAAGAATCCCTCTTCAATAAATGGTGCTGGGAAAACTGGATAGCCACCTGTAGAAGGCTAAAACAGGACCCACACCTTTCACCTCTCACAAAAACCAACTCACGCTGGATAACAGACTTAAACCTAAGATATGAAACTATTAGAACTCTAGAGGAAAAAGTTGGAAACACTCTCCTAGACATCGGCCTGGGCAAAGAGTTTATGAAGAAGTCCCCAAAGGCAATCACAGCAGCAACAAAAATAAATAAATGGGACATGATCAAACTACAAAGCTTCTGCACAGCCAAAGAAATAGTCATGAAAGTAAACAGACAACCTACAGAATGGGAGAAAATTTTTGCATCCTATGCATCCGATAAGGGACTGATAACTAGAATATACTTAGAACTCACGAAAATTAGGAAGAAAAAATCAAATAACCCCATTAAAAAGTGGGCAAAGGACTTGAACAGAAATTTTTCTAAAGAAGACAGAAGAATGGCCAACAAACATATGAAGAAATGCTCAACATCTCTAATCATCAGGGAAATGCAAATCAAAACCACAATGAGATATCACTTAACCCCAGTGAGAATGGCCTTTATCAAAAAATCTCCAAACAATAAATGCTGGCGTGGTTGCGGAGAGAGAGGAACACTCCTACACTGCTGGTGGGACTGCAAACTAGTTCAACCTCTGTGGAAAGCAATATGGAGATACCTTAAAGCGATACAAGTGAATCTACCATTTGATCCAGCAATCCCATTGCTGGGCATCTACCCAAATGATCCAGTGACACTCTACAAAAAAGACACCTGCACTCGAATGTTTATAGCAGCACAATTCATAATTGCAAGGCTGTGGAAACAGCCCAAGTGCCCATCAATCCAAGAATGGATTAATAAAATGTGGTATATGTACACCATGGAATACTATTCAGCTCTAAGAAACAATGGTGATATAGCACACCTTATATTTTCCTGGTTAGAGCTGGAACCCATACTACTAAGTGAAGTATCCCAAGATTGGAAAAACAAGCACCAGATATATTCTCCAGCAAACTGGTATTAACTGAGTAGCACCTAAGTGGACACATAGGTGCTACAGTAATAGGGTATTGGGCAGGTGGGAGGGGGGAGGGGGGCGGGTATATACATACATAGTGAGTGAGATGTGCTCAGACTTTTGGGGGGAGGGGGGGAAATGGGCATTTATTGAAACCTTAAAATCTGTACCCCCATAATATGCCAAAATAAAAAAAAAAAAACTCAATGGAAATGAACTATCTTATATAACACTTTTAAACACAGTAATTCCAAAAGAGAGGCATTTATTATCACCATACTAGAGATGAAGAAACGGAGCCTCGGGTTAAGAACTTACTCAAAGGGTTATGGATGGTTGCTTAAAACATTAGGTTGTGGGGGAATAGATTCTTCACATGGTACTAGAGTTTATTATCCTGGCAAATTACCAGAGCACAGGGAGTGCCCCTCACCCAGTGGGGCCCAAGGCTATATACAACAGATGCCTGGGGACTGCAAGGCCAGCCCATCCTAGGACTGGACATTTTAGGCAAGTATTAAAATGAGGGTTTCTTCTACATTTCCATGACTGAGCCTCTACCCATCTCCCCAGCCTCATGCTGATCTTCTCCCCTACACAGGGCCTCTTGACTGTCTGTGGATGCACTCTGTTCATTTTCTCCCACAACACGCTACAGCTTAGATGCTCTAGAGAATGTGCCTTTTATTTAGCCCATTACCAGAGATTTAACAGCCTGCCCAACATATTCAAGAATGTAAATCCTACTGCTCTCAGGCCCTGTTCAATATCACCTTCTCCATGAAGCTGAAGGTGACCCTTCTCCAGTAACTCTTCTCATCTCTATGAGTCACATGAAACTTCACTCATTCAGTACATTTTACTGAGCACCAATAACATGTCAGGTACAGTTCCAAGCTCTGAGATATATATCAGTGAACAAAATGGACATAAATCCTGCCAAGATCTTTCATTTTAGTAGAGACAGACAATAAACCATGTAAATTATATATTATCACAAGGTGATAAAAGTTCTATAAAAAAGCAAGCACTGTGGATTAGAGTGTCCCCAAAAGGGAATAGGAAGAAGCACTGCAATTTTAAATACCATGGCCAAAGAAGGACTAAGAAAATAACACGTAAGCAAAGGCTTAAAGAAGAGAAGAGTATATTGTGAAAGAGCCTTCCACACGGAGGAAACAGCAAGTGCAAAGGCCCCGGGCATTCAGGGAGGCGAGTGTGACTGGAGCAGAATGAGCAAGGGGGAGAGTAGTCAGAAATGAGGGCAGAGACATCGCAAGGGGAGGAGAGGACAGTCCTGTACGCTGCTATAAGAGCTTTGCTTCTACTAAGTGAGATGGGAAACCACTAGAGGGTTTTAACCAGAGGAAGACAACATCTGACCTTTTTTTTTTTTTTTTTTTTTTTTTCAGACAGAGTCTCACTCTGTTGCCCGGGTTAGAGAAGCTGTGGCATCAGCCTAGCTCACAGCAACCTCAAACTCCTGGGCTCAAGCAATCCTTCTGCCTCAGCCTCCCAAGTAGCTGGGACTACAGGCATGCGCCACTATGTCCAGCTAA